AAGAATGAATAATTTTCGAAAGTACTTACAATACTACAAATCCAGCTTTTTCGAAAAATTATAAAATTTGATTATGCGAATTTTATTTTTTTATGAGAACCCTTATATATGTAACGTTAAAGTAAATGTAAAGAAGCGTGCTGGGCGTAAGTTGTAAATGAGTTTTCCCTTAACAAAATTTTATGATGACGTCATCAACATTTTTGCAAAAACATGTATATCACTTTGGATAGATGCAGTGTAATACTAATGATAACAGTATTGCACGCCCATATTTTCGGGAAAACGGAGTGAGCCGTTCCTGATTTAATCAATAAGATAAATTGACTCATTCATTAATTTTTTTGAGACACCCTGTCTAAGAAATTTAAAAACTTTTAATGCAATGATAAATCACGAGTATAGACTCATCATATTTTGCAGATTTTGGATAGGATTTATTCGGAAAAATTTTGAGATGACGTCATTAATTTTTGGGAAGGGATAAACAAATAAATTTTGCTTATTTACAATATTTCAGAGCAATCGGTTTTGCAGTTTCAAAGTTGTATTGCAAAATATTGTTATTCAGTTTTGAATCTTTTCCAAAAATTTTGGATGCCTAGGATGAAAATTTGACACGGATTCACACAGCACAAATGTAGGAGTATTTTATTTTAAAAAATTTAAGAAAACTTTTTATTACAAATTTTGGAAATGACGTCATCCCATTGGTGGTGGGGATGATTAGCCAAATTTTAGTTAGCGTTTAACCATCTACTTGATATTCCTAATATACATACAAAATTTGACAACAATCGGTCCAGTAGTTTTTGAAATTACTTGTCTAATAAAAATGGATACAGACGACAGACAGACAGACGGAAACGGAAGACCACTTTTTTCGTACTCTAGAGGTCATGACACGTCGAGAAAATATGAAAGTGACAATTCTGCCGATGGCCTCGATTACTGTACTTCCTTAGCTTACGCTCAATAAGTAAAAAGGTAAAATTTCAGAAGCTATTGAAAATTTGAGTTTTTTGCAAACTTGCCAAACTATACTCAAAATATTCTGGGATAGTGATTCTAAGACAGTGGCTAGAAATTTTCGAAGAAATGTCGCCGAAAATGACTTTTGTAAGCCGAAATTAACAAAGAAATGTTTTTCACTACTTTTCAAGTGATTGAAAAAAAGTAAAAAATTTCGAAAGTGGGAAATTTTGAAAATATGGGCTTTTTAAAAAATTGCTAAAAAATACACAAAAAATTGTGGGATAAAAATCTGGACGAGCTAATTCAAAAAACATAACCTGGTGATGGACATAGGACAAGGATATGGAAATTTTCGGTTTCAAAATCAAATTTTTAAATATCCCAAAAATTCCCATCTTAGCGATTCTGGAAAAGTGGTTGGAATTTTCGAAGAAACCTTGCCGAAAATGGTTTCTGTTAACAGTCAAAGTTAACAAAAAATGCCTTTTGATAATTTTTAAAAATGCTTGTAAAATGGTCGAAACTGTCATTAAAAAATTTAGCTTTTGGCAGAGATACCAAAAGTTCACAACAAATTCTGGGATATAAATCTCGACGAGCCAAGTGAAAAACATAGTCGGTTAATGGACTTAGACCAAGATTTTGGAAATTTTCTGCTTCAGAATCAATTTTTTAAACTATCCCAAAAATTGCTACATTCTATCTTGGCGATTCTGGGAAAATGGTTGGAATTTTCGAATAAATCTTGACGAAAATGATTTCTGCAAGTCGAAATCAACCAGTAAATCTCCGTACTTCGAAAAAGGTCAAAAATTTTAATGGAAAATTGAACCAGATCAAAATTTTCGCAATTCTCAGTTTCAAAATGGAATTTTTAAAATCAAAACGGGAAAAGTGGTTAGAATTATGACGAAAATGATTTTTGCACTTCGAAATCAGCGAAAAATATCTCGGTAATTTTGAAATGTGCTCGGAACATTGAAAAATTGAGCTTTTGGAAAAACTGCTGAAACATCCATTAAAAAATCTGAGATATAGGTATAGCTGATTCGAAAAATATTACTCAGTAAGACTTTCGAAATTTTCAGAATTTTTAAAGTATCCAAAAATGACCATAAATCATTTTGGTATTTCTGCAAGTCGGAATCAACAAAAACATGATTTTCGATAACTTTCAAAAGGAAAAAGATAAAAATTTCAAAATTGAGAGGTAATGAAAATTCAAGTTTTTTGAAAAATTTGCAAAATACACTAAAAAAAAATGAAATATGAATCAACGAGCTAATTCGCAAAACATAGGCTGTTAATAGACTTTGACCAAGATTTTGGAAATTTTTGGTTTCAAAATCAAATTTTTAAAATAAAAATCCCATTGGCCATAATTTCTTTTATTCTAGATAAATGGTTGAAATGTCCGAAAAAAATACCCGGAAAAAGGTCGAAAATTTTATTGAAAAATTGAGCTTTCGACAAAGATGTCCAAAAATTCACGAAAAATTCTAAAATATAAATGTCAGCGAGTTATTTCGAAAACGTAGCCTGTTGGTAGACCTGTACCAAAATTTTCGAAATTCTCGTTTCCAGAACGGAATTTTAAAAATACCCCAAAAATTGCCATATTTATTCTTCGCGGTCTAGAAAATGGTTGAAATTTTCAAAGAAATGAAACCGAAAATAACCTTTGCAAGTCGAAATCAACAAATAATCTCTTTAAGTTGTTTTCGAAACTACTTGGAAAAGATTAAAAATTTCACTAAAAAATTGAGTTTTTGGAAAGCTTGCCTAAAAGTCCACAAAAAAATTCGGGGAATACCTAAATATTGACGAGCTAATTCAAAAAACAGCCCTGATGCAGCCACAACAAGATTTTCGAAAATTTCGACTTAAAATAATTTTTTTTAAATTTCTTGGCAATTAGAGAAAAGCGGTTGAATTTTCGAACAAATGAAACCGAAAATAACTCCTGGATGCCAAAATCTATATAAAAATCTAATTTTTGAGGATGCTCGAAAAATGAGCGAAAAGTTCATAAGGGCGATGTATTTAAAATTTATTTAAAAAATTGAGGTTTTTTAAAGGTGGCCTAAAGATTCACAAAAAAATGTGGGATGTAAATATCGACCAGATTTAAATTTTTGATATATTCTGTTCGATAATCTTTTTTTTAATCTTAGAAAGTCGAAAATGGTGGAAAAAAATTTGGAAATTTTTGTGTTCAAAATTAAATATTTAATATATCCCAAAAATGCCCAAAATTCGTCTTGGAGAGTCTGGAAAAATGTTTAAATTTTAATGAAGCTGAAAACAACTTGTGCAAATGGTTCTGCTGGACAATAAAGAGCTGTTAATTAATACTATAATTATTAGAAATTTCTTTTACAAGAAAACTTTATGAAAAAATACGCCCAAGCATGCGCTGATATTGGTCACACACAGTCATTAAAGGCGCTTTGTTTTATTTGGAGCACCTTACTTACTTACTTACTTACTTACTTTATTATGCTAAAGAGAGAAGGTGCGAGAGAGACGGATAGTTTATTAAATCTCAATGGCGCAAATTTTGCTTGATCGTTTAAATGAAGTATTCTCAGTAATTAACGTAAATTTTTTCCGTCCTTATCAGTGGGAGTGGAAGTTCGCGTAGGAGATGTTAATTTTGATTAAAAATTCGGAATACCGTGCACGGGTTAATTCGGCGTTGTGTAGATTTTGCGAAGTAATTCGGCGATTGTAAATCGTCCGTGATGTACCGAATCCCAGTCTTCAAAGAAAGCAGAGCAACGTCAGTAGATGTACCAAGTAAAAATCCCATTATCGAAAGTTCCGCGAAGTTCGAGGAGTAAACGGGTTATTTCGTTTTCTTATCAATCTCATGTTTATAAATTCGTCGAGTCTTTAAAAAATGAAGTGAACGTAATCAGAGAATGACTAACAATTTCACGTCTTAAAATTAATGATAAAGTTGATGTTGGTGTTTATCTTGCGAAGTTTGCATCCGCGGCTGCTGATTACTTATTTAAGTTTAATTGCAAATATCTGTCGAGCCCTACGGCTTAGTTAAAAATTATTTATCGGTTTGTTATCCCTAAACGAACGGGACTTCATTTCTGGATTCCAATACTGCGATCATCAACATGTAAAAGCTTATTTTCGTGGGTTCTTCGTGCGCTGGCGCTAGTCGTTCCTCGTTCGGCAAACAAGCAGTGTGAGGCCAGTAACTCTTAGCAGACTCAGTGGGTATAGAGGTGCGGTAGTTTGTGGCCGCGGTTTAGTGACATGGGATCGCACATGTGATTAACCGAGTGCTTCTGATTTTACAGTAACATTTTAACATGACTTATGTGATAATCAACCAGTATGTAATTGTCATCTTACGCAAAATATACGAATATTTCTTACATAACACGTTTTCTTCATTATTTACTGCGATTAAGTCACACAAATCCGGACAGCTATGACTTAAGTCACTTCGGCTTAACTCCAAAACTATCTTTACTACGTTGTTCTTGATATTAATATCTCGTGTGGGCCATCGTTAATTCTGTTTGTTGTCGTTTGTACGATAAACAGGAAATACACTTCTGCAATCGGTTGGATCTTCGCGAAGTGTGCTTGCAGTAAATTACGACCTCCGATACAAAGTGAGGAAATAGTTGCATTCATAAATTTACAACACTTAAATAAATGTCAAAGCCAGAATCTCTAATAATTGCTTTCTACCTGTCTCGGAAACATAATAGGTTCCAGGTATCCGCTTGGTTACTTCAGGTATTTGTCCCTGCACCATCATGCACAGTCCCATTCTTCGTTCATCAATGAATCAAAACGCACCGGCTACCTAAATGTCAACAAAACTGTCAGCTGTTCCGATTCGTGTTACTTGCCGCTCAGCAAAAATCGCTTTTTGCCCAGATTTAGTAACGAGTAGAAAGCGCTCGCTAAATTAAACTCCACCGTTAAATTAATATTGCGCCGAATGTCCTATCTCTAAAAACCGACTTGCATAATTTTCTTTTTTGTTTCAGATTTCAACGAATTTTCTTACTTTCAATTTTACACAAACTCTTGAGGTAGTTTACAAGTGGTTGTGGCAAAACGACGAACATTAGCACGACGATCGAGTTATAAGTGTCCGACGGATAATGCATTTATTTGTGTGTTGTATATATGTTTGTGTCATTGTTGTGAGTATATCCGAAGCGCACTACACCCAACAATGGGCCGTCCACATCGAAGGTGGGCCCCAGGTAGCTGACGAGGTCGCCCGAGATCATGGCTTCGAGAACCAAGGCCAGGTAAGAAAGGAAGTTTCTACTTTACACTCATTTCTGCGGCATTTCGGCTCGATATCACCAACAGTGCCGAAGCCGATTTCGCCCTATGTACTTAAAACTGACCACATGACGTGAATCACGCAAGCGCGACTGACTTAAGTCACGTATCCAAATATGCGCCCGTTTTTCAAAACACATTACCATTTTCGACGTTCTACTCGACTTGCTGTTATTTACATAGCGGACTTTTTCTTGAACCTTGGAAAGAATCCGCTTTTTATCGCCAGATTTAATTGGGCGGAAATTGTAAAAATTAGCGCGAGGCAGAGCCGCATTAGGCACCTGTAGTGGAAATGATAAGAGGAGACTCCTTCATGCGCTAACGGTTATTTCACAATTTCATTTTAAATATGCTTCGTAAACTACCACATACAATGTTGCAGCCTTAATTCGTCGAGACCTTCGTCGACGAAATCGCAATCATTCCATTTTTATCACAATTAACTAAAAATGTCAAAACGGTGCCATCAATCCGACCCTGACTTTACAAATATTACTTTCCCTACTATTATAATGTGTACAATAGATAACTCAAACTAAATTTCATTTTTATTCAAAATAAAGAAGTATTGTAATGACTCCTAGAGTAGGAAAAATTGGTTTCCCGTTTCCGTCTGTCTCTCTGTGTCGACTTTTATCAGAGATAATCTGTGTAAATTTTACAAAACAACATACCGCTGTACTTGTGGTTTATGAATCCACCTTGTAGGCATCCATGTTACCCCAAAGAATCAAAATTATATAATAGTCAGTTCGTTGGTCATAAAACTGTATACAAGTGCAAAATATTAAAATAATCGGTTTGGTAGTTTATAACGTTAATTGTAAAATTGTATAGCACAATTTTGCTTTTTTCCGAAAAACTTGACGATGCATGACACTAAAACACAGGCATTTACACACTTTCTCGTAATAAATCTAAAATTTCATAACAATTATTACTTTAAATTGCTTGTCTAATAAAATCACCCGGAGACAAAACAAACGGAAACGGAGGTCCTACCTTTCCATACAGAATTCGTCAAACGGACTCTTCCAATACTTCCTTAGCTTACACCGGGGACTAAAAATAGAGAAAAGAACCAAAAAAATTAATTTCGTGTGATAATAAAGCCCAAAATTGTAATTTTTTGCAAAAAATCCCCCTAGGGTGTGACATTTTTTGCCGATATAAATATCCCGGTTTCAAATTTTAGAAACCGCTGGAACACGGAACGAATTACATCTTGCGTTCCTCCCTTGTTTCATCACGTTATATACAGTGGAACATACTCTGCCTTCGGCGAATTTTTAATTTTCAAATTAATTGTTTCCGTTTTTAATAATTGTGTTCTAAATAGGGGCAAATTTGGTTCGCAAAATATTGACATTTGACGTAATAATGTTGACATTTGAACAAAGCAATTTCCAATTATGCCTACTACGACATTTAAAAGTTAATTTTACAGTCACTATGCATTTACCTAAAAAAAAATTGTGTTTTTTAATTAACGTAAAAATTCCAGTGGTTCCAAAACGACTGAACATTGTAAATGCGATGTCACTTTTATTTTAAAATTAACTTGTCGTTAAACTTGGCTTCTACAAGTTACGAAAAACGCATTTTGAGCGTTAGCGGAAGCCGGTAATTCGTGACGCGTATAAAATGCGTAGATGGAGCACAAACGAGTAATTTCGAATTTGTTTTGTCTTTGATTACACCGAAACACATGGCGTATACACGCAGCAGCGATCTAATTATATCTTTGGTAAAAAGTGAAACCATTAAATTTTCACGGTGCCAGTCCGCCTCTGTCTCAGATTGAGTGAGTTTAGTAGTTGACGTTACAGTACAGTGTTACGTCTCCGTTTTATGACAAGGAGTGATCACGTTATTAGATTTTATTAAGCCAATAAATTTTTCGTTCTTTACATTTTCGGGGAGCTGATTAATACGTTTAAAATAAATTGAGGCGGCGTGTTTGTTTAACTTTGTAATAAGCGCTCGTGAGTAAATGACAATAAAAGGCGATACTTAGTTATAGTGAATGTTTATAAATGAAATTGAATGTTTCCCTCGGGCGGCATATTTCCTCAAGTAGAAACTCTACTTCTTTAAATTTTGTGCATTAATTTTCTGCTCTATTTATCCTCAAGTTCATCCTTGCTCGAGATGTATTTGTAAACATTGCGTTATCCATATTAAAAAGGAAAACCGTTTCCGATGGATTAAAGATTCGTTAAGTTATTTACGCCGACACGGAATCGGTCATGTATGACTGTATACACATTATACACTTTTTTCTATAAACAAATAATTTTCAGTACCGACAAACATCGTTTAGTTTAAAATTACAATAATTACATCATCAGTTTTGTGGAGGAATAAATAAATGTAGTTTAAGCGTTGATAAATCCTTATTGACAAAATTCTTCACTCGTTTGAAATTTCAAAGTAATCGGTTCGTTTATCACGGAGATTATCTGTCAAATAAAATCGTCAACAGACGGCCTACGGACGTCGGACGGAAACGGGAAACTGGTATTTTTGTACTCTACGATCCGTAAAAACGTCATGAAAATATGAAATTGAGGATTGGTGAAACCGACCCTTTTCCAATGCTTGTGGGTTGTCGTTCGGGAAGTAAAAAGGAAAACTGTTTCCGATGGATTAGCTATTTTTGTCGTATCTATCACAAACGGGGAGAAAAATGTCCTGTCTTTAGCACCGTGTCTCGGTACATAATGATAGATGAAACAAAAACCTCCCCATTGTAATATAATTTGCATTAGTTTCTGGTTGCTGTCATTCACACGTGATCCTGGACTATAAAAACATGTACAACTTTCAATACCCGTGTTGAAACGTAATGAAGCGTGTTTTTATTCAATTTTGGCTTTCAGCGCGATGATGAAAGATGGAAAATGATTTTCGAACAGCATTTGCCTTTAATTACCGTGATTTGATCAGGATAACAAAACTTCCTATTTTCAATTCCATTAACTGCATTGCGTTCGGTTAGTGTCTGTTTATTTTTAATTTGAAACGTTGAGGGAGCGTTAAATTATAAATAAAACTCTAAATGACAAAAATAGGTGTTTGAAATCCAGTCTAGATCCACTGTTTAGAGATAATTTTTCCTTTAGGGAGTCGTAAAAGTTCGTAATAATAACTTAAAATAAACCATGGGCGAGCACAACGGCTGCTTGAAAATTTTTCCACGTCAGTTACATACCTGACGTAAATTTAGCCGCATTATTGCCACTTAACCCAAAATACTGATTTACCTGAGCACGTTCGGATCTTATTTTGCAAAAAGAACAATCCCACTTTAATTGCTCGACGCGATTTAAAACCGCGGCTCTCAGTCGCAACTTTTGCATAATATTCATTTAAATTTTCGACGATCATGGAAAGCATCATCCGCACCCTTCCCGCAACCTAATTATAAAGGGTATTACCGTATCACCACGTTACCCCGCTCCTTCTATTAGAATTGTTATTATCTAATCAGGATTTATGTAATACAGGCTAATAGTTTTATCCTGCGTTAAAATTTCTTGCATATTTAATGCCAAGATTCCGTTTTTGTTAGAACGGATTATATCGATTCGATTTCGTAATGAACTTCCACAGAATTTAATTTTTAATTCAGACGCCAACCCTCCACAATTCATACCTACTCAATGAATCAATTAACGCCTCTTAAAAATTCTATCCTACGTATGACGGGGCATCAAGTCAACCCGCCGGACTCTCGGAATCGGAATGACAATTGATTTTAGTCACCATAATGAAGAACACTCGAAGAATTCGGTAATGAGGTCCGGCAAAATGCGATGAGTAAGAAAATTTAACGACCACACAATTTATTTTCTATTGTTGCCACGCCTCAATTAGACTCCCATTAAATCATTTCCCATTGCTTCTATACCCAAGATTTTCAAGAATCCGGTTGCGGGACGACGCTGCCCACCGAAAAGAAAACACACTTAATACAAAGATGAAAGCGACGCCCAATACGACAGCGTTTCTTGCCAATTTTCGACTAAAGTCCGAACCAGACTGAACGAGCGGAGACGCGTCATCGCATAATTAGGCTATTTCCCGTGCCATATAATTTTCTCAACGTTAGTCCTTTCGCTTCTAATTAATTTTTAGATGTTTTCTATCTCCATGTCTTCTTAAATTCCTTTCTCTTGGACACTTTTTTTCGCCCCTATTTTCCTTCCTCTAGACTAACTATTTTTTGAGCAATGCTCTCTTTCAGTGTCTCTCCACTGTTTCTCTATATTGATATTTATCTACACCTTTTTTCAATGTTTTTGATTCTATTTATTTGGCTTTCTTGGTCACTCTTTTTTCTTTTTACTTCCCGAGCGTAAGCAAAGGAAGTATTGTAATCGAGTCCGTCGGCCGACTCTCTACTTTTACGTTTTCTCGATCTTTCATGACCCCTAGAAGACGAAGAAATAGGTCTCCCATTTCCGTCTGTCTGTCCGTCTGTTGTCCCGGATTTTTATTAGACAGATAATCTCCGAAAGTACTCGACCGATTGTTGTGAAATTTTGTACTTATATTAAGAATATCATGTAGATGGTAAAACGCTAACCAAAATTTGTCTAATCATCCCCACCACTAATGCGATGACGTCACTTCAAAATTGTACATAGTAAATGGGTTTTCAATTGTATAAAATAACATAGTCCTACACATGTAGTTTACAACTCTGAATCGACTTTTCACCCGAAACGTCCAGATTTTTGGAAAAAAAATCAAAATTATAAAACAACATTTTGAAATTTATTTTTAATCTGCTAACCAGAATGCTTTGAAATGTTGCAGATGTTTTAAGGCTATAAAGAGCATCATAAATTTTTAGTCAAAAAATATTTGCTTATCCCCTCCAAAAACTTGATGACGTCAGCTCAAAAGTTTGTGGAATAAATCATATCTAAAATGTACAAAATATGATGAGTCT